TTTCATACTGTATGTAGATGACATACTATTGATGGGAAATGACATTGGGATGATGACTAAAGTTAAGTTGTGGTTATCCAAAACTTTCTCTATGAAAGTCTTAGGAGAAACGACCTATATCCTATGAATTCATATCTATAGAATAGAAATAAAGGATTAATAGGCTTATCTTAGAGGATGTACATAGAAAAGATGTTGAAATAGTTCGACATGCAAGACTCCAAAAAGGGAATTTTGCCTTGTAGTCATGGAATTTATCTTTCAAAAGATATAAGTCCAAAGACTGATCAGGAGCATGAGCAAATGCGTGGGATACCTATGCTTCAGCCATAGGTAGTCTCATGTACGCTATGCTATGTACTAGGCCTGATATAGCATACATTGTCAATGTTACAAGTAGATATAATCAGACCTTGGGGAGAAACACTGGTCAATTATTAAGACGATCCTTAAGTACTTAAAAAGAACTACGAATCTGATAATAAGTTATAGAGGTTCAGCATTGAAAATTGAAGGATACTTTGATTTTGATTTTCAATTAGATATGGATGATAAAAAGTCTACATCCGAGTTCATTTTTACATGCAATAAAGGAGCAATCAGTTGGAAGAGTTCTAAACAGTCAACTACTGTTGATTCCACTACAGAAGCTAAATATATTGCCACTTCAGAAGCAGCAAAGGAAGCTATCTAGATGCGCAAGTTCATGACTAGACTTGGTGTTGCTCTAAACATTGTTTATCCAATAACCTTGTACTATGACAATACTGGTGTATTGCACAGGCAAAGGAGCCAAAGGCACACCAAAAGTCAAAACATATTTAGCACAGATATCGCATTTTGAAAGATTTCGTTAGAGTTGGAGAAATTTTGGTATAGAAAACACCTTCAACAGAGAATGTAGTTGACCCACCCACTAAATCGATGACACAAAAACAGTTGGACTATCATCTTGATAAGACGGGTATTAGATACCACAACAATTGACTCTAGTGCAAGTGGGAATTTTGTTAGTGTATGCCCTATGAACCAATCGTATCGTCGGTTTTAGGACATTATATCTTGTAAATATATTATGAATAAAAAAAAGTGTTCTTATTTCACATGTTGATTTACTGCTTCATTTATATTATATATTGCATGTGAAATGTCCGGATGATGCGGATCTTCAAAAGATCAAATCATCGAAGCATTCCCTATGCAAGTAATGTCAATTGGGTAGTTATATTGCATAGTAGGCATGCTAAATATCTCCATTGAATATCATGTAATGGTATTAGTATAGGTAATTATAAGTCATGTCACTAGGGCACTTGCATGGATAACCGGTTAGTGAATTGTTTATCAAATACGACCAATTACGATGTATCACATGGACGTTTAGAATGTGATCAATAATACATCGTAGGATTGTACAAGTGTACCACTGATCTTTAGACCTGAGACATCACAGTTGGATTCGACATAGGATGCATATGGTTCAAATGGTGTATAAGCACGAGACTAGTCATATCTTGTGTAACAAGCTGTTTGTTCATATGTTATTCATGTGCAAGGACAAGTGGTGGTCAAGATGGGATCCGTTAACTCGAAATAGTCAAATATCGAGTTTATAGACGAATATCAGTAAACATTGAAAAAAGACAATTTCTGGTCAAAGTATAATGAATGTCAGATGAAAAGTCGTTTCAGATTGACGAGTTCCATTGTATCGATTGACAATTCAATTAAAGATTATGTTAAGGGTTTTGAAATACCATGAACCATTCTTAATTGGCATTAGATGACGAAGGGATTTTACTACACAGTACGATCAAAATAGGTTCATTGGAGTTTATACTTCACTGTGATTTAAGGATTATGGAATATTGCTAAACGTCTACCATAATCGGCGGAGGTTTTGATTAAAAAGAGTTATAATGAAACATATCAGAATCCGATATTGAGTCCACGACTAGAACACAATCATTCAAAGTGGTCACACATAAAACCAAGCTCAAAAAGAGAGAGTAATATATATCATTAATTGGTTAATGATGTTCAGACGTAAATGGTTGTGACTAAATTAATGTATTGGTGAAAAATGAATATCCATGGATAGCTAGCACTAAATAATATAGATTTATTAAATATTATTATTGAATCGGATACAATAATGGAGACAAAAGTGCATCGGTTTTATATTCTAAAGAGTTAGAATACTTAATGTTTGGGCTGATTACGAATTAACCATAAAACCAAGGACTTGACAAAATGCTTTTTTTTCGAGATTAATTTTAAATTACTTGAGGACTTCCCAAGACAATTTAAAATTGCACTTTGTGCCCATCGTATATAAACCAAGTGTTATACTATTTTCATTCAATTGAAAACAAAATCACTCTCTCACTTTCTTTCTCACTCTCTCACTTTCTTTCTCACTCTCTCGGCTCTCTCATCTTTGGCTTGGGTGGAGTCATTTTGAGTTTCTTCATTCTCTTTTGAAGAATCTAGACTCCAAGAATCAACATCCAAGTATTTAATAGTAAAGGAGTTGCTAATTTTCTATCATTTTCTTACATTAACATGTTAATGTTTTAATTGTTTGTGTTCTACCTTGCATCCATCATTTCAATTATCATTTTCACACTATTTTCATGTTCGAAATGCATGAACCACAGCAATGGATTCCATAGACGCACTGAGAGCTATTCTAACTTCTTGCTGCTAGCTAACTGCTCGACGAAGGTATTCGTGAGCTGGCTAAATGATGCAATGGAGTTGTTTGAGAGCTTGGTGTACTATTGGAGAACTGGTCCCATCAAGTTGTGCAAGCTTCACAGAGTTAAGGTATGATAGTAGCGAACATTCTTTGCTTGTAAGAGGTGATGTGGTCGTTTAGGTCTGTCATGCCATCGTAGAGGTCCAATGATACAAGCGACTACCAACGCTGGCCTATTCTCATCCATAAGGACTCTTTTAAAGCAAGCATTTGCTAAAAAAAGATGGAAGCGATGATCCAATGTATTCCTAGAGTACCAACCTTGATTAAAAAGAGTTTGCCTCAAAGCTACACCAACTCACTGTTTGTCAACTCAATTGCCCTCATCGAGATGCCAAAGAAGTTCTCGTTCCCCAACATGAAGCTCTACGATGGCACGATAGGCCCAGATGACCACATCGCCTCTTATAAGCAGAGGATGTTCGCTACTGCCATACCTCGGGAACTCCGCGAAGCTTGCATGTGTAAGAACTTCGAGTCCAACTTGATAGGACCAACTCTCCAATAGTACACTAAGCTCCCAAACAACTCCATTGCATCCTTCGCCTAGCTCACGGACACCTTCGTTGAGCAGTTCGCTAGAACTAAGAAGTTAGAGAAGCTCTCGGGTGACCTCTATGGAATCCACTAGAACCGAGGGAAGCCACTCTTAAACTATGTCAGGCGCTTTAATCGAGAGAAGGTATACATCTCATACTACAACAAAGAAGCAGTAGTTGATACCTTTAGAAAAGGCCTCCTCCCCGATGGTGAGCTTTACAAAGAATTTACCAGGTTTAATTGCACCGCCATGGCAGACGTCCTTACTCGAGCATGGGTCAAAATCAGATGGGAAGAGGATGAAGTCCACCGATCCAGATATACCTTGTACGATGACCGACACTCCAAACGACCTGACTGACGCAATGACACTCAACCTGTCGAGCCATATCCCACTCTTTAAGACGAGGACCAACCCGAGACAGCAGATGCCCACTCGACAGACAATCAGTTCGGTCCCCAGCTTCATGTAGTCACATCTAGTAGGAAAAGGTTTGCCGTGATCGTGGAGCTAATGCACGACTACTGACATAGAGTGATCAGAACACAGCTCTACGGTCTAGAATGACTGTTTTTGAGAGAGCAAGAACTAGAAAGCAAGAGGGATTGTCATTGAATGAATTCTGAAAGGGCATACCTCTATTTATATAGTGAGCCAAGGTGGCTTGAGTCATTATGAAACTTGGAGTTCTTATGGTAGTCGAAGTATAGTAGGCATGAAACTCGTAGTACTAGTCCATGTAAAAGTAGGAGTATTAGTTCATATAAGACTAGGAGTCTGCGAAGAATTAGGATTTGCATGGGACTTGGAGTCCTTGAGACATTAGAATCCACATGAGACTTGGAGTCTTGAAGAGTGGATGCTGATTCTGTTGATAGGCCACAGTGTGGACTGTCTTGATCCATTGAGTAGCCCAACTCATAGATGGGCTCAATTCGCAGGGCAGCCCAGATCGTAGAGTGGACTCTCTAAGGGATGGGCTAGAATAGGAGTCAACCAGAGTTGGGCCAACCCTTCTTTGAGCCAACCCTTGGAGGAAGATCACTTGTTGACTCTCGGGACTAATTAGAATGGATGGTGAGGAATTCAATAGAGGAGACATCAAATAACCTGTCACTCCTTGACAAAAAGACAAAATTTTTATTTAGATACAAGTTATTTGTAATTTATATTATTTGCTTTATTTTATTTTATTTTATCTTTATCCAAAACACTACTAACACAAGGTTTCCTTCTTATATAAGACTTGTTATTATGTTATTTTATATTTTTAATAAAACTTATAGAGCCTAAATGAGGTGTGCATATGTTATTATGTGTTTACTCTCAGTTTAGTTAATGTCAAATTTGAGAAATATTTCTTAAATTATTAGTTATGTATATTTTTATCATTTTTTTTTTTTCTAATATAAGTAATTTTGATTTCAAGTTGATTATTCTTTCATTAAAAGGAATTTTTTGAGAAAAAGGAAAAACATAAATAACAAATATTACTATTTTAATTTTCATTCATGTATGAAGTCTTCATCATCCACCTAGGAAATTAAAAATAAAATAGGACCTTTTATTATTCTTTTAGTGTTGTCAATGGATTAGATAGAGATATAATAAATTAACTTAAATAATTTGGGAAATATTATAATTACAAATCAATTGCTACAAAACCCAAGGCCCCCAAGCTTATAAAATAAAATCAGGTACCACGTAAGCTGCCTCCTTTATAATTAAATTGGTAGAATGTTATTACAATCACGTGGTTTGGTTTTGAAAGTCAAGTTACAGTGGAAAAGCACCGATGGGAACGCAGTGCAACTTATTTGGCGTTATTCTAAAACATCGAACAAAAAAAAAAAAAAAAGGGAACATCAGAGGTGGGGCCATTGTGGATTCACGCCATTGAACCTTGATTGTAAGGAACGCAATGAGCCCTTATTTGGCGTTATTCTAAAACATCGAACAAAAAAAAAAAAAGGGAACATCAGAGGTGGGGCCATTGTGGATTCACGCCATTGAACCTTGATTGTATTTGCTTGTATTTGTACTTTCTCTAAACATGAATTCACTCCAGCCAGTAATTTCTTGAAATTAATGAATGGCAGTTGACCACTTAATTCACATGATATTTCTTCCACAACTGCTTTAATTAACTCTGACTCGTCCCTGAAATATGCAAAATAAGTTAAATAACAATAAAACTCAGTGCTGTCCTAAATAATAAAATATCACATATATTCACCATTTACATATTCATATCATCCATCCTAATAAATCAATTATATTTTCAAAGATGCATGCCACCATAGATCAATCGCACAAAAAATAATAATAATAATAATAATAATAATAATAAACCTTATTTTAATGTCACTCACTTCTAACTCCAACTCATAGGTTGATATCATATTGGTGAGAGTATGTATATATGCCAAGTTTTCCTTCCCTTATAAACCAAAAGGTTAAAGGCTGGTTATCCCTTTCCCTCGCCAATTAATCGCTTCCTCATTCAATTCTTAACTCATCAACTGCTGCTTCTCTTTCTTAGACACACCATATATATATAATCAAGGAAATCATAAACCTTAATTACATCTTTCTAAAGGAAAGTTCTGTATTACTTATCAATAGGAATAAAATCAAGGGATTAGGTTTAATATATGGATTCACATTGTACATTCTATTCTTATATATTCTTCCTTCATATTCTAATTCTTATCCTACAAAACAATAATCTACTATTATTGATACTATTATATTACACATTGGAGGAGTCGAGTCTTAATAAATAGTAGTGTGACAAAAAATTAAACAATGATTAATCTTAATTAAGTACTTTTTGCAATTCGAAAAAATTTAAGAAACAAAGATGAATGATACGCAATAAAATTAAGGAATCGGTTTCACATGGATTCACACCCTTCCTAGCAATACTTTATTTTCCCTTCAAACATTCATTACTTTCTATTGTTCAACCCCATAATTACTTCCTCTTTACATCATCTTCACGAAGTTAAGCACATCTATTAATTTTCCTAGAATTTCTAACACTGTTTCAATCAAACTATCTAGCTACATGAATGTATCCATCCAACTATCCAATGAGGACCCCTGTTTTAAATAAGCCCCAATCTTTTAAAAATGTAATAACTTCTACACATATACCCTCCAAAACACCATTTTACTTGTTAAGCAAAACACATCCCATTATCGTTCTTTCAAGATATAGCATGAATAAACTATAGTTCATTCTTAAGCTCGCTACATTGCAAAGAAGAATAAAGAATTTTTACCTATATTCCTGCAAGTTAAATCCAGAGAGATTAGCCATCTCTTCTAAAGCATTCCTCCACATTTGCACATTCTCTGTCTTTTCTAACATTTCTTCATATTTGGTGAATGCTTCTTGAAAACCTCCTTTTTGACGTCTCGGCACACTTGGCTCCACATCATAGAAAATTGGAATAGCCACTTGCCCTTTTGTTTTCATACATTCAACAATTCTAACAAGTTCCTCCAAACACCGAGTAGAAGAAGCATAGCTTTTTGAGAAAATAACAATTGAAATTCTTGACTTTTCAATTGCTCCTTTTGTGATTTCCGGTGAAACAGGTGTTCCTCTCTCAAGTTCTTTTTCTCCTTTAAATACATTAAATCGTTTTCGAACCAAATTAGCACATAGATGATCTGTGAAGTTTTTCCCAGTGTCTTTACCTTGAAAGTTTAGAAATATATCATAAGAAACTCTTTGGCTACTCATTTGAAACAGCTTGTTTGAATCAATTAGCTTTTTCTGGGCAAGTTACAAGTCCTGTCAATGCAACCAGTTTCCTCCTATGCAAGACCCTGAAAAGTTCGAAAACCAAACAAAATATTGAATTTTTTTTCTTAAAAAAAAAGAAGATAAATTCTATATATATTGCCAAATATAATATCTCTTGGGTAAGATGGATCATGAACTAAAAAATATTTTGTTATTCCTAACTATTAATTTATTTATTTACTTAATATACAGAAAATTTATAGTTAGAAATTAAGAAAAGTCTTTAATATTTGTTAAAGTTTTAGAAATCGTGTTGCTTATCTTAAATACATTTATAGTTTTAAGCACTTGATAGGTTTAAATGAATTTTTGGTGACCATCCAAATTAAGCTAAATTATAGAAGTGAGTGGATCGATCTGTAAACTTGAACTTAGATCTATATATCTTTTTGTGCTAAGAAACATTCTCAAAATTATTTTAGCTAAATTTGTTTTGAAATCTTATTTTATTGTAAGAATAGTTTCACTATTTTACTCGCATACAAACTAAATGTTTCAGATTCGTAAAACATAAATAAAAACGAAAATCAAGAACAAGAACATAGATTTAAGGTAACCAAGAACGTTAGAAAACTTACACCTTTGAAGGTGCTGCAGAACTCTGAAAGATGAACCCTAACCTATCAGTCAACGGAAGCAAAAGGCTTTCTGTGTTAAGAAGTGTAAAAATAAGAAATTGACTTGATCTATAGACACTCCTAAAGTTTTAGTTATTTTTATGCCCAAAATTTTATAAAGGGTTAATATTTTCCAGTCCCCCTGCGAGTATCAAAATTATGTTTACTCCCCTGAACATTTTTTTTTTAATTTTCTATTTTTCTTATCTTATCTTTTCTTTTACTTTTCGTACTGATCCTTAATGTTTATTTTTAGAAAAAATTTTGAGTTAAAACAGCCAAATTAAAAATAAATTTATGGGCAAATTTGTAATTACAAAGGTCTATTTTAAAGCCCTAAACTAACGGCAGACTGTATAAATTATAGTTTCAGATGTTCATAACTGGCCAGTAGCAACCATCACTCATGGTGGTCCGTCGATGTGCAGGCTATTAAGGAAGATGTTGAAAATCTGTCACAATCTCAACCGAAGCAACAAATCAGCAACAAATCCGTGCAGCAATAAATCAAGGAATGTAAATGCTGACAGCTTTTGATTTTCTGTGTAAATGCCTTTATGCTGTATATTTCCATAGATAGCTTTACGTTACATATTTTCCATAGATAGCTCATCAGAACTTGTATTTAAACAGAATGTTACTAGCAATACTATGTGTTCAAAAATAAAAATTTAGAGCAGTGTTTTCTTCTATACAGGCACTGTTCCGACAATCTAGTTTGTAATTTTTAATTTTTATATATTATTAATTCATTTAAAAAAATAATTGTTTAGAATATTTAATAAATAATTTTAAAATGTATTTAAATAATTATATTGAAAGCTAAAAATAAGTCCTTTTTGGTCTTTATACATACCACCACAATTTGAAATATACTTTACCAAACATAACATTACAGATTTTAAAAAATCAAAACAAACTTAAGAATTTGCTTTACCAAACACATTGAAAATTATTTCTAAAGTTGATTATTTTTAAAGTTGGACAAAAACTAATTAAATTTAAAGCTACAACAATCTCAAACTAGCCCTTAACCAAAGATTTATTGTTTCTTGGAGTTAAAATTTTAAATTTAATAAACATACTATAAGCATATTTTAGCCCTCGAATTTATTTTAAATATTGGGCTCTAATAATAATTTTTGAAACTCGGTGGTTTCCCCTACAAATAAGAGCCTTCTTCGAAATTCAACAAATGACTTTAATATATTCAAATTATAGTATTATACTATTAATATAATGATAATTTTTTTAAACTCGGTGGTTAGCTTTTTTGAGAGTTATATTAATACTCAAATTATACTATTAATATATTCAACGATCTCATCACGTCAGGCTAGGATAGTGAGTAGGGCAGGCCACTGTACTGGTTTGGGGGCTTTTTTTTTTTTTAATTCTTTTTTAAATTAATGAAACATTATACATATGGTATATTATATAGCTTTGGCTAACCAAAAAATTTATCTAATATTTCATATTATTGTTGATTCTTATAATTTTCTAATAGTGTATTATAGATAAGGATAAATTGAAAGTTAAAAAACTTAAATTTAAGTCTTACTTTTTAATTTTTATCTATGTCTTATGTGGTAGTTTAATAAATAAAAGCCATCAACATTACAAATTAATCGATATTTATAAAAATCAATACGAAAACATAACATAATATATAGTTTTATTATTTATTAGTGAAAGGATTAAGGTGATTTTTTTTTTTTTTTTTTTACAAGCTAGCATCACATAATCTTGAAATAGTTCAATGAACTATACCAATATTTTTTGGGTAACCCCGGTAATTATCTCTTTCGCGACTCGAAAATAAGACTCTTGAGCGTAGCTAACCCTATTGGCCAAAGCCCAAAGGGTTTGTCATCCAGCAAAAAGAGAAGAGGTTATACCAATATTTTTCTTATTTTGAATTAAAGAAAAACACTGAAAACAGATATTGTATTAATTAAAATAATGAAAACATAATTTCTTTTAAAGTATTAGACTAAAAAATAACTTTAATTGCCACAATTTTTGTGTTTAGAAAAAATAAAAGTTTAAATGTATAAAATAATCTACAATTCACACAAAATAGGGATACCAAATTTTTTTTCATTATTTTTCTTTTTGTAATTTTGATTTTTAATTTATAGTACTAATACATTCTCGTTGTTTGAGATTTACAGAAATTCAATTTATTCCTTTCATTTTGTAGAATAGTTCTTCAAAAATAACTTGGTAACTAGTATCCAATGAGCCCGAGAATGTTTCATGATATTTTATTAAAAAAGAAAAAAAGAAAAAAAAAAGGCTATACTTCGCCCCTCAAAAGTTATTTTTCTCTTATATTTATTTTAGACAAGCTAAGCTTGGATGTTTGGATAAACACTATAGAAAATCTATTGTTACAAGTTTAATTTCACAGATTGAATAAATGATCAGAGTTTGAATGTACTTCGAATGTATGCATATTTCATTGATACATGTACATTAAGATAGCTTATTTATATCATTTTTCTTCTGCGGAAATCTAAGTGAAAAGAATTAATTTCATTGATATAACCTAAAATTGAATTGAATTTATAAGTGAAACATGCACATAAAGATGGCATGAAGATTTAGGCCGTGTTTGGTTCATTATTCTTACCCATATTCCCAATCCTATTCTCCAAATCTTGGCCATCGTTGACAAAAAACGATCAAAGATGGCTGTCGTTTTGACATTTTCTGGCCGTCGATTGCCATAACAGGTCGTAGATCTGGCCTTTTTCGGCCAGATCCGTGGTAGATCTAGCCGGAAAAAGCTATAACGACGCGTTAACGTGATTTTTTGGCCAAATTCTGGTGGTGGTGGCCAGAATCTGGCACTGCAGGTGGTAGGGGTATTTTTGTCATTTTATATGTTGGGGTGTTTAATTAGATTAGTAAACCTATGGGCTTTTTAATAAATTTTTAAATTTTATCTCGTAATACTCCTCTAATCAACTATCTAATATTATTCTCAAAATCCTATCCAAAATAATGAACCAAATGCACCCTTAGAAATTTATGATGATGATTTTAAAAATTCCATAATCTTATTTCTCATATTTATGGTAGCTAATAAACATAAATTCCTTAATAAAATTAAGGGGTTTAAAACATAAACACCCTTTAATATTATATGCCCAAATATTATAATATGATGATGTTTTTTAATCTAATAGATAACCGTTGTTAGCATAATCGGTAATATGATATAGTATATCAAAACAATTCAATTTGATAAGTAGATAAAAAATAAATGAATCAAATGAAATAAATTTAATGAAAGATTAAATGATGGAAAAATATTGANCAGCTTTTGATTTTCTGTGTAAATGCCTTTATGCTGTATATTTCCATAGATAGCTTTACGTTACATATTTTCCATAGATAGCTCATCAGAACTTGTATTTAAACAGAATGTTACTAGCAATTCTATGTGTTCAAAAATCAAAATTTAGAGCAGTGTTTTCTTCTATATGGTATCAGAAGAGCCAGCCCTCTAACGAGATTCTTTTTTTTCCGATCATGGCTGCTACTCCTACACAATCCTCTGCTTCCGAATCATAAATCATCACCATCAACCCAACCACCACTATTAATGAAAAGCTTACCCTTGCCACATTCCCTCAATGGAGAGCTCAATTTGAAGCACTACTCATAGGTTACGACCTCATTGATTTTGTCACCGGAAATCGTCAATGCCCATCCATTGATGCAACCAACTCTGCTGCCTCTAAAGCCGCACACTCCCACTGGGTGCATCAAGATAAACTCCTTCTCCATGCCATTCTTGCTTCCACCTCCACAACAATCACTCCACTTCTTGCATCCTGCAAAACGTCTCAACAGGCCTGGTCAACTCTTACTCGGCTTTATGCGGGCAAATCTCGAACACGAGCCATGCAACTCAAGGAAGATTTAACATTGAGCACTCGTGGCAGTAGATCTGTCACAGAATTTCTTCAAGGCGTAAAAATAATTGCTGATGAGCTTGCAATCATAGATCACTCTGTTTCGGATGATGATCTAACACTATATATTTTAAACAGCCTTGGACCCGAGTTTCGTGAGATTGCAGCACCCATTCGTGCTCGGGAAACCTCAATGAAATTTGAGGAAATTCATGACTTGCTGGTTGGTCATGAAAATTACATCCGTCGACTGGAAGCCCAATCGGCAACTCTGCTAGCCACCGCCAACTACACTCAATGAAAAGGGAGCTTCTCTGGCAATGCTGGGTCCTTTTCGTAGAAGCACTCTTCAAATGGAAATCAAGGTCGTGGCAATCAAGGTCGTGGCAAGCGTGGGCCATCTGATTCGGGCTTCAAGAAATATAAGCCAAAATGTCAACTTTGTGATCAAATAGGCCATACGGCCAGGACCTGCTTCAAATTCAATTNAAACATAAATTCCTTAATAAAATTAAGGGGTTTAAAACATAAACACCCTTTAATATTATATGCCCAAATATTATAATATAATGATGTTTTTTAATCTAATAGATAACCGTTGTTAGCATAATCGGTAATATGATATAGTATATCAAAACAATTCAATTTGATAAGTAGATAAAAAGTAAATGAATCAAATGAAATAAATTTAATGAAAGATTAAATGATGGAAAAATATTGAACACAATTATTAAAGTCAAGTCAATAGAATTTATGTGAAAAAAAAAAAAAAAAATATTAAAAAAGTTATTTGTGAAACTTCGAAGAAGGCTCCTGCTCATAAAAAGTTACTTTTGGAGTCAATAGGAAATGATGAAAAATAATTAAAAGTTTGTGACACCTTCTAAGTTTAGGTATATGTCAGTCGAACTCTACAAGTTTCAAAACTTATAAACAGTACCCATATTAAACAGTGTCTCTTCAAATAAATTAAAGGCTAATATGTAATTTATATTTGCTGCATTTAATATTTTAATCCCCATGCATCAATAAATAATTTGTTACACACATTATGTGATAGAAATGTATATTTTTCAAGTAACCTACATATCAAAGTTGGGATCTTAATTTTGAATCTTAAGTGTTGTAAATGTTTATATGTCAATACAACATTTATCATAGGATAATAAGATAAGTGTGTGAAGAAAATAATGACTTGAAGAATGAAGAAACACTGACTCAATTTCTCCGGTAATCTTTTTTATTGAATTTAGAAGACAAAAATAAATAGGCTACAATGATAAGACAGTTCTGAAAAAAAATTCTCTTAAAAGAAAAAAAATAAAAAGAAATAAAAATGATTTGATAATTAAGGATTCAATTTTCTTGTAAAAAGAAAAGAATAATTAAAAAATAAAAACTCATAAAATAACAAGATACATTAATTGATACATAGGCTCTTAACAAGGAAATAAAACAATTAAATAAAATAGACAAGAGTAAGTATGTCATGACGCAAATCTCTTTAAAAAGAAACGGCTTGCATTTCAAAATGTTATTGTTTTTTGTCAATGAAGTATTGTCACAGAAATAACCACATTAATTGAGATCTAAAACTAGGATATAACTTTGATATATTCTGACATTACTAATATTTTTAATATTTAATTATTATATTGTTTACTTTAATAAGAGTTTATGGAAAATTCCCTTTTGACGAATTAATTTATTATGTATAGGTATTGATTAAAAATAAAAAAAATAATTTTATATGTTTTAATTAATTTTATAAGTACGTAAAATTTTTTAAGAAGTAGGAAATTTGAATTTTTTTATTATTATTATTTTTTTTTATTAGACAAAGACGGTGACAAAAAATTTAGATTAATAAACGTCAATATTTGGAGTGTCTCAATAGTTCTGTAGAATCCATGGGCCTTGACGTTATCATTAAAAGATTAGGGACTTCCATTAATTTATCATTCCTCCAAACGAGAAACGGTTCTGGATCTGAAACTTTGCAAGTTCTTTCAATTCACAGCACAGAAAAAACCTCTGCCTTCCCGATTTCATTTTAGTGTAAATCAGAAGCGTTCGTTGACGGATCGGATTAAAGTTCATCTTTCGGCGAAAACTGTAGGCTTCCTTAAAATCTATGGTTTTTATTTTGTGATTTCATTTTAATTTTAATGATCTGGCAAATCTAGTTGGTTTGTTTGAGAGAAAATCAGTGAAACTAATCATTCAACTAACTATAGGATCTTAAATTCAATTTAGCTTAAAATGTTTTCATCCAAGTTTAATTTTACAGATCTGCACAAGATCAGAGTTCGATACTAGATGTATTTTTGTACCAAAAAGAAAAGAAAAAAAAATTTCTGGGAATTAAATTTATTCTTTGTTTTTCCAGCTTTTCAGGCTCTTTCATAGAAGGAAATTGGTTGCGCAGACAGCACGTATAACTTGCCTGAATAAAGTTAGTTAACAATTGTTTTTATCATGAGCATCCCAAGAGTCTCATCAAATGGATTCCTTTCTCTCTTGGGTTGGAAACATGAAGTCTTTCTGAGTTTCAGAGGTGAAGATACACGAAAGGGTTTCACAGGTCATCTCTATCGTGCTTTGACTCGAAAAGGAGTTGATGTATTTTGGGATGAAAAACTTGAGAAAGGAGAACCCATTTCATCGGAACTCCTTGATGCAATCGAAAAATCAAGAATCTCAATTGTGGTTTTCTCAAAAAATTATCTCAAAAAATCAAACTTGAGGTAGGACAAATTATTATTCCAATTTTCTATGATGTGGAGCCATATGTGCCAAGACATCAAGATGGAGAATTTCAAGAAGCATTTGCTGAACATGAAGAAAGTTTTAAAGAGAACAAACAGGAGGTGGAAGTATGGAGGAATACTTTGAAAGAGGTGGCCAATCTCTCTGGATTTCCCTTGAAAGATAGGTAAATATTCTTTATTCTTCTCAACAATATAGAGAGCTTAATATTTCTTCTTGGTATTTCTTGAACAGAAGTACTTCTTGGAGTTAGTTGAATCAGTTAGCCAGAATTATGAATATTTTGTTAATTCTTGCAATATTTTCAATGGAAGTAGGTAGAGGGTAGTGGATGTGTTGTTGTGTTGTGATAGTACATGAATCATATGAAAAAGGGATTTGAGATGGTTAGTTAATTAGTAGTATGAATATGATGATGAGTATGATTATTAATTATGTTTGATGAAGAGTACGTTTAAGATTTGTATTGTGGTTTATAATGTATGAATTTAATAAATTTTGGTGCAGGTACGAGTCAGAATTGATAGAAGATGTTGTTAACGAAGTGAGAAGAAAATTAAGTGTTTCAGGTTCAAGATTGATGAACTTGAAGAAAGTATTAGTTGATGTGAGTTCATGTCTAGAGCAGCTACGGAAGCAGGCAGAGATACGAAGGCCAAGGGTTCAATGGAGGCAATTGATAATTGCCCAAACTCTAATGCCCTTTTTTTTTTTTGAGCTTTTTATAGAGTTTTGATCGTATCTTATTCGACTATTAAGAGGCACTTTTCTCGTATACCTGTGGACCACAACAACGTGAAAGGTGTTAAAATATTTGTGGATGTTCCACCGCCACATGCTGAGCTGCCACATTTTGAGTTTCATTGACCACTGTTTTAGGCTTCTCTCATTGGCTATTATGATAACAGCTTTGTATTTGATTTGGCTTTCTTTTCATTGACTAGTAAGATGGTACCTTTTATTGTGTAAGAATTTCAATTTGAATTAAAACTTAAATCTCATCTCATCTGCCAACTATTAATTATATTTTTACGGTTACAAATTCACCTACTAACTGTACTCATTTCAAGTTTGAAAAACAATTCTTGATTAAATTTCAACTGAAGACTAATTTTTAGTGAATCAAGAGAATATTTGTTTTCTATTTTCAGGTGTCATTAATTAATTAGTATAAAAGAGGTAAGTCTTAAACTAAACAAAAACTATTATAATATATATATATATATATATATATTTTTTTTTTTTTTTGAAGAGAGAAAATCAACTCCTATTTTTTATTTTCTTAAATAGTCTATACACTACAGGGCCAGCCAAAGTCATTATATGCGGAGAAAGAATATATTGTATATAAATTTCTAAAAGCTTTATCTTTGAATATATAATAAGATTATTGAGCTTAAGAGAATCTACGAAAGTGAGCGTGCACTAAACCTATTCTCTAAATTTAATATTGATCTTCAAGTTACCTATTTATATCTATTATATTTTATATTTTATATCAAATTTACACGTGTAAATTTTAAAAAATATTTACCTACTAAATTTAGTATAAAATAGGTATAATTTAATATTTACCTATTTTGCAAAATACGTGTAAATCCAATTCATATTAAATTTACATTTACATTTTTATTAAATACAGTAAATATTTACCTGCAAAATACGTGTAAATCAAATTTATATTAAATTTGAATTATACCAATTTCGCTGGTAAATCAAATTTAATAAATAGGAGTTCATTCTCTCTCTCTCTCTCTCTCTCTCTCTCTCTCTCTCTTTTAAATTTAATATAAATTTATTATAGTAAATTCATTAATTTTAGCCTTTTAGTATAATAATTTTAAATGTATTTGACTAATAAATTTATTAAAATATAAATGTATAATATTTAACAAACGGGATGATATTTACCATCAAAGTATAATATTTCATTTTATAAACTGATATCTTTTGGGTCATTCAACCTTGAATTTTAAGTTATTATAGGTTAACCCGATGTGTATTTAAAAAATGTATAGGATAAATAAACTTCTAACCAATGTTTTAAAACCCAACCCAGGGTGCAACCCGGCAAAGTTTCCGAGTCCCCGATTGATCGGTTTGATCGCTGGTCAAACCAATTGACAAAAAATTTTAAAATTCAGCAAATACACCACTAAAAATTATATGTAAGTCCCTATATGTTTGAACTTTATCAAACACACCCTAAATGCAAATCGACCGGCGACCGATTGGCGACGGCAACACCCCAGATGCAACCCAATCATCCCCTGAGCCCATTTCCACTAAAATCTACCCAAGATCTGGCCGAAATAGGTTCGATTTAAGCCAGATCTCACCGACGCCTGCGTGGGCATTCCAGGCCAGATCTCATCCACGCCGGCGGCGACAACCCTCCCCATCACCCAGGAATCACTCCCCTCCTCCTCCCGACCAAAACCCACCTCACCCCACCCCCGTTAGCCTCTCCAATCGCCAGTGAAATCCCATCGTTGCCGCTGCCAGATTTGTTCGATTTCCGGTCGATTTACTCACCAGAAATCAATGATGTCACCACCATTACATTCACCGGCGCTTTATCTTCAAAAGCCCTAAGGTTCCGACGGTCAATTGCTCGCCAATCATCCACCCAAATCCTAGGGTTTTGGGTGAATAGGAAAAGTATAAACCCAGCCCGTTGAAGCTTCTAGGTCTCAGTTGAACAGGTTCAACCAGCCGAGCCGGGCTGGGTATTAAAACAATGGTATAAACTCGGCCCGTTGAAGCTTTCGGGTCTTGGTTCAACCGACCAGGCCGGGTCGGGTTTTAAAACAATGGTTTTTATTGATAACTTCAGTAAATTTACAGCCTTTCACAAGTTCAATCTAGGGCCACACTAAAGTTTTCAAGGAGGGAAATTTACAGCCTTTCACAAGTTTAAGAGAGGGATGAGTCCCTCCAATCTTATACAGATAGGTTTACCGCGAACTCCACAAAGTGGCTCACACTCCTGAAGAGTCCGTTCAGACTCTCCTTATTGCAGGGGTTCGCCCGTAGACTGACTTATGAAAAGAGCTACAGTTAGAGAACGATGTTTCCCTCACTCGTTTCTACGACCTCCTTGAGAAGTATCTCCGAATAGAAAATTTTACGACTGCTCTCAATCGCCACAACCCCAGGCCGTCAACCAGTGTTTCCGGCCGAGGGGAGAACAGTAGAAGGGCTGATCGCAGTTGGGCTAATGACGATCAGCGAAAAGGGAAGAAATAATGATTCGAGCCCAAAAAGTCTTACGCCCCAGTTCTTCGTCGCAATCGCGACAAGAATCAGTACACTTCTTTGAATGCCTCAGTATCAGAAATTCTGGATAAATCAGGGGAGGTCAGCCTGCTCGGAGAGTCGGAGCCCATGAAGAATCCCCTTTCAGCCAAGAACAGCAAAAAGTACTACCGCTATCATCGGGACAATAGGCATCACACTGATGAGTGTCGGGCTCTCAAGCAAGCAATTGAAGACCTCATCAAACATGGGCACTTCAAAGAGTATGTTGACGGTCCGACTCCCGTTCGAGAAAAAGATCAAGAGGAACAGGGGAAGAGGTGTCGTGGTCGCAAGGGCCTCTACTATGTAGGGATCATTTTCAAGAGGCCCCACCTTGTGGGGAACTCTTGAGATTCCTAGGAAAGGTATGCCCGGGAAGCTCGCCATGACCCCTTGAGTGTAATGAGCATGGCGCCGCAACCTGCTAAGATCCGCAGGGAAGAAGAAATTACCTTCTCTGAAAAAGATGCAATACGACTACATCACCCCCAAGACGATGCACTCATCATCGCGTCTAAAATAGGCCAATGCGAGGTCCACAGAATGCTGGTCGACAATGGGAGCGCCGTGAATATCCTATTCCAGTAAGCCTTCAAAAGAATGCAACTGGACGAGGCAGACCTAAAGCCTACCTCATTCCCCCTCTACGGTTTTACCGAGGATCACCTGATTCCCAAGGGAACGATTTGCTCCCCATCACGTTGGGAGAAACCAATGAAGTGACAAAGGTGACGGAGGTCTTGGTGGTAGATTGTCCGTCCGCCTTCAACAGCATCCTGGGATGACTTCTACTACGGAATTTCAAGGCTGTCACTTCTATCTACCATATGAAAATAAAGTTCCCCACCCTGATAGGAATCAGGGAAGTACAAGGATCCCAACGTGAATCTCACGACTGCTACATAAAGGCAGTCCAGATGGCATGCAAGGGAAAGGGGAAGCTAGTGGGCCCCCCTGAACACGCCATGACAATCAATAGGATCGAGCCACTATCTAGACCAACAGAGGATAACATGGATCCTCGTATCCAGGAGTGTCTTCACAGCGGGCCAGTTGAGGACCTGTCTGAGGTATTGGTCGATGAAAGCGAGTCGACCAGAGTATTAAGAATCGGGAGTAATCTCAATTCACAGCTCATCAAAAACTTGACGAGCTTCCTTAGAAAAAACATCAATGTTTTTGCATGGACTTACGCCGATATGATCGAGATCAACCCGAGCGTAATATGTCATGCTCTAAACATTGACAATGCAGTCAAGCCAGTCCGCCAGAAGAGAAGCAATGAACCCTTTTGAACGGGTTTATTCGAGAGGTACTTTACCCGAGTTGGGTTGCCAACCTGCTTTTAGTAAAGAAACCCAACGGAAAATGGCAGACCTGCATCGATTTCACCGACCTCAATAAAACTTGTACAAAGGATAACTTTCTCCTGCCGAGGATCTACCAGCTCGTTGATGCCACTTCTGGGCATGAGCTACTGAGCTTTATGGATGCCTACTCAGGATTTAATTAGATCTCGATATACACATCAAATGAAGAGCATACCTCGTTCATTACAAATCGGGGACTGTATTGTTACAAGGTTATGTCCTTCGGCTTGAAGAACGCTAGGGTAACTTACCAGCGGTTGGTTAACCGTATGTTTTCCGAACAAATCGGCAAAACAATGGAAGTCTATGTTGATGACATGCTAGTTAAGTCGCATGCCGCTTCAGATCACATAGCACATCTTGCCGAAATGTTCGATGTACTCCGAAGGTACAGAATGAAACTCAACCCTCTCAAGTGCTCATTCGGGGTATCCTCGGGAAAGTTCCTGGGGTACATGTTAACCAACAGGGAATCAAAACCCTAAAAAGATCCAAGCTCTCCTCGATATGAAAAGCCCTGCCAACAAAAAGCAGGTCCAGAACTTGAATGGCAAGATAGCGGCTCCAAGTTGCTTCATATTGAGAGTAATAGATCGTTGCTTACCATTTTTTAATGTGCTTAAGGCCAACAGGAATTCGAATGGACTCCAGAGTGCGAACAAGCCTTTCAGAGTATAAAGGAACACCTTGGAAGACCACCTCTCCTGTCCAAGCCTCTTCCTAAGGAAATTTTACTTCTGTACCTATCCGTCTCCCAGCATACGGTTAGCGTTGCCCTCATCCGTAAAGAAGACAGAGTTTAGTGGCCAGTATATTATGCAAGCAAGCGACTGTTGGAAGCCGAGATACAGTACCCAGAGATGAAACGATTAGCTTATGCCCTGCTGATTGCCTCTAGAAAGCTACGACCTTACTTCCATGCCCACACAATCCATGTTCTGACCAACTACCCGCTCAAGAAAGTCCTTCAGAAGCCAGAGGCTTTAGGTAAGTTGCTTAAGCGGGCAATGGAACTGAGTCAGTTCGATCTGCATTACAAACTAAAAACAACCATTAAAGGGCAGGTTGTTGCCGATTTCATTTCGAAATTCTCATACCAATCTGATCGAGGACCCGAGCAACCAACTGGCGAGGTTGTCTAAGAAAACACTTAGAAACTATCAACCTGGAGTCTCTATGTTGATGGTTTCTCGAACAGAAAAAGGATCGGGGCAGGTCTTCTCCTCCTCAATCTCGAAGGGAAGCGCATTCATGGAATCCTTCGGTTTGGGTTCTAGGCTACTAACGATAAGGCTGAGTATGAAGCGCTACTATCTGGTCTGCGACTAGCAAGGGAAATGGGATCCGAGGTGATCAGCATTCACAGCGACTCCCAGTTGGTCGTTAATCAGATCTCGAGAGAGTACCAAACCAAGGAAGAGAACATGATCAGCTACCTAAAGAAAACAAAGGCCGCACTCGAGCCTTTCAAGCACTTCACGATCACGCAAATCCCGAGAGATAGTAACTCTATTGCAGACACCTTGGCAAAGATAGCCTCATCGCTACCAACTACAACTAATGATTTGATTTATTATTATGAATGTGAGAAACATTATAGGCAGCATTCAAACTTGTCATTTTTGTTTTTAGTATTACTCAAATTTGGTTGGGATCTGATATCTATTGTACCATCTTCATTGGATTGAGCACACAGTCTGGATTAAACAGCTGAAGGTCCCTCTTTTTTGTGGTCACTGCCCAATGTGTTCCATTGTGTTTTTGAAATGTGCTTGTGTTGACAAATTTAATGTGGAGTATGCTGTTCTTTCCAAAACCTTGAAAGCTTCTTGTAGGTATATCTCTCTGTGACAATGGATTATATGGTATTTGTTTGTCTTTCTTCTCTTTTGGCGAGTCTTCCTTTGTATGTGCTGCTGAAACTTTAATTATTCATCTTGGATTCTGAATTGAAATCTCTGTGATTCCATTGCCATGTTCTATTCTTGATTTTTTTTTCTGTTATTTTTGCGTAGGTGGTGGTGATGGTTATGATGATGATGATGGTGATAAATTTTGATACTAGTGTGTGAAGCTCAATCAACATAGAGACGGATCAAAGAAAAAGCACTTGCATCAAATGTTTTGTTATTAATTATTATGTATTTTGTCATTTGATATGTAAATACAACATCATGTTTGGATTTGGACTTTGAATTGTTGTTAAATACTTAAATTATGTTAGGATTGTTGTTGAATTTGAACTTTGAATCATGTTGGACAGTAATTAAATTGTTATTGTCTTATTGAAAAATAGAAATCTAAAAAAAAAATTGTTTTTTTTTTTAAAATATGCTAACGTCATTATGATGTGTGATGATGTCACCGGTCCAATCAACGGTCCAACCGGTTGAACCGTGACTCGACCATCAAAGCGGTTTGCCCTCCGATCTGGTTTTTAAAACAATGGTTTCATGATATTTTATTTAAAAAAAAAAAAACTGTATTTCGCCCCTCAAAAGTTATTTTTCTCTTATATTTATTTTAGACAAGCTAAGCTTGGATGTTAGGATAAACACTATAGAAAATCTATTGTTACAAGTTTAATTTCACAGATTGAATAAATGATCAGAGTTTGAATGTACTTCGAATGTATGCATATTTCATTGATACATGTACATTAAGATAGCTTGTTTATATCATTTTTCTTCTGTGGAAATCCAAGTGAAAAGAATTAATTTCATTGATATAACCTGAAATTGAATAAAATTTAGAAGTGAAACATGCACATAAAGATGCCATGAAGATTTAGAAATTCATGATGAAGATTTTAAAAATTCCATAATCTTATTTCTCATATTTATGGTAGCTAATAAACATAAATTCCTTAATAAAATTAAGGGGTTTAAAACATAAACACCCTTTAATATTATATGCCCAAATATTATAATATAATGATGTTTTTTAATCTAATAGATAACCGTTGTTAGCATAATCGGTAATATGATATAGTATATCAAAACAATTCAATTTGATAAGTAGATAAAAAATAAATGAATCAAATGAAATAAATTTACTGAAAGATTAAATTATGGAAAAATATTGAACACAACTATTAAAGTCAAGTCAACAGAATTTATGTGAAAAAAAAAAAAATATTAAAAAAGTTATTTGTGAAACTTCGAAGAAGGCTCGTGCTTGTAAAAAGTTACTTTTGAAGTCAATAGGAAATGATAAAAAATTATTAAAAGGACACCTTCAAGTTTAGGCCATATAATATGTAACTCTACAAGTTTCAAAACTTATAAACAGTACCCATATTGAACAGTGTCTCTTCAAATAACTTATAAACAGTACCCATAAATAAATTATGTACAGGTATTGATTAAAAATAAAAAAAATATTTTTATATGTTTTAATTAATTTTATAAGTATGTAAAATTTTTTAAGGAGTAGGAATGTTTTTTTTTTATTATTAGACAAAGACGGTGACAAATAATTTAGATTGATAAACATTAATATTTGGAGTGTCTCAATAGTTCTGTAGAACTCATGGGCCTTGACGTTATCGCTAAAAGATTAGGGACTTACATGTAATTTGTCATTCCCCCAAAGAGGAACGGTTCCTGGATCTGAAACTATGCAAGTTCTTTCAATTCACAGCACAGAAAAAACCTCTGCCTTCCCGATTTCATTTTAGTGTAACTCGCGTTCGTTGACGGATCGGATTAAAGTTCATCTTTCGGCGAAAACTGTAAGTTTTCTAGGCTTCCTTAAAATCTATGGTTTTTATTTTGTGATTTCATTTTAATTTTAATGATCTGGCAAATCTAGTTGGTTTGTTTGAGAGAAAATCAGTGAAACTAATCATACAACTAACTATAGGATCTTAAAATCAATTTAGCTTAAGATGTTTTCGTCCAAGTTTAATTTTACAGATCTGCACAAGATCAGAGTTCGATACTAGATGTATTTTTGTAAAAAATAAAAAAATTTCTGGGAATTAAATTTATTCTTTGTTTTTCCAGCTTTTCAGGCTCTTTCATAGAAGGAAATTGGTTGCGCAGACAGCACGTATAACTTACCTGAATAAAGTTAGTTAATAATTGTTTTTATCATGAGCATCCCAACAGTCTCATCAAATGGATTCCTTTCTCGCTTTGGTTGGAAACATGAAGTGTTCCTAAGTTTCAGAGGTGAAGATACACGAAAGGGTTTCACAGGTCATCTCTATCGTGCTTTGACTCGAAAAGGAGTAGATGTATTTTGGGATGAAAAACTTGAGAAAGGAGAACCCATTTCATNTGCGTTAAGCTAAAATATATAATATTTTTTTATTAAATTTAATATTCATATTCCACATTTCCACTCACTAACAGTAAATCTTGCTATTGTTGTTGGTCAAGAAAAATGCAAAAAGAATATGGTTTATATTCTTAATTTTCAGTTTTTTCATTTTATTTATTATTATCATAAATATTATAATGCCTAATCTAATACCTAAATAATAATTTTTAATTAACTCCTTATACCGTATATCTTGTGTAATCCATCACTTTCTTATAACATTGAATTAGCTTTTACGTATATATTTATAAGTAACATAGTAAATATTCTACTCTTAATAAAAATATTTTTTATTATTAATAGGAGACTCAGTTTTTCAATTCCTAATAGTTCTCACACCCTTATAACAATTTTATTTCTTTTTTAATTAACTTTTCTAAAAAGATACAATTTTATAAGGAAATAATAAGGAAAGCAAGTCATAATATCTCAAAACTTTTAAATGTGTTACAAATGTCAAATTTGATTAGCATAAGAGAGTTCTATCACTAAAAAAAAATTGTATAAACGATTTGTAAATTCTAATTTAACGTAAACTTGTCATAAGAGAGTTGTTAAATCTATAAACTTCTCATAGCCTTATGTCAAATTCTCACGGCCTAATCTATAAAAATTAACATCCGGCAACCCTAATATATTTTATTTTCATTAAATTTAATATTCATATTCCACTCACTAACTATAAATCTTGCTATTGTTGCTCGTCAAGAAGGTGCAAAAGGAATATGGTTTATATTCTTAATTTTTTAGTTTTTTCATTTTATTTATTATTATCGAAAATATCATAATACATGTTACACTGTTAACTTTAACAAATAAAAATTAAGAAATGTACTTTTTTTCTTTTTTGACCTTGAGGTTTACTTTACAAACCATTAGGGTTCTAATGTTCTCTCAAACTTGAGAGCTAGTCCATGACAATTACCCTCGAAAAATTAATAAATTATATGGGTTTTGGATAATTTGATCAAAAATAATTATAAGTTTTCATTTTAATTCAAATATATAGTTGGAAACTTGGATGGAGATTAAAGCTTGGGGTGTTAATGTCAGTTCATAAAACTTTCTGGTATTGAAATTATTATTAGAACTCTGCGGTGTTCACAAGAAGCAAACAAGCAAACGTCTTGAGGTCACAACGCAGAAAACCTTTCGGCTTTTGCTTTGTTGACTGATCGGTTCAGAGTTCATCTGTCGGATTTCAATCAGTTCATCTTTAACTCTTGGTTGCAACACCTTCAAATCTGTAAGTTGTCGAACATTCTTGTTTCATTAAATCTATGTTTTTGATTTCTGGTTTTTCCATTTTAGTTTGAAGAAGCTAATCTTAGATAAATGAACTAATCTTTCAACTACATGGGATCTGAAAATAAATTTATCTTGAATATATGTTGATATAAGTTTAATTTTATAGATCCACACAAGATCAGAGTTTAAGAATACGATTTTTCTTATGTTTGAGAAATTAGATTTATATTTTGATTTTTCAACTTTTCAGTTTTTCAGGCAGGAGAAATTGTAACTTGCCCCAAACATGAGCACTCAAAGAGTCCCTTCATACGGTTCTTCTTCTTCCCGTAGTTGGAAATATGATGTATTTATGAATTTTGAAGGTGAAGGCACTGGCAAGAATTTCACAGATCATTTGTATGTTGCTTTGGATCAAGAAGGATTTGAAGTATATAAAAGTGACAAAGAAATTGAGAGAGGATCACCTGTTTCACCAGAAATTGTAAGAAAAGCAATTGAAGAATCAAGAATTTCAGTTGTTGTTTTCTCCAAAAGATATGCTTCTTCTACTCCTTGTTTGGATGAACTTGTGAATATTAGTGAATGTAAGAAAACGGTGGGACAAATGATTATTCCAATTTTCTATGATGTGGAGCCATCTGTGCCAAGATATCAAATTGGAGACTTTCAAGAAGCATTTGCTGAACATGAAGAAACTTTTAAAGAGAACAAACTGGAGGTGGAAGCATGGAGGAATACTTTGAAAGAGGTGGCCAATCTCTCTGGATTTCCCTTGAAGGATAGGTAACTATTCTTTATTCTTCTTAACAATATAGAGAGCTTAATATTTCTTCTTGCTATTTCTTGAACGGAAGTACTTCTTTGAGTTAGTTGAATCAGTTAGCCAGAATTATGAATATTTTCTTAATTACTTGCAATATTTTCAATGGAAGTAGGTATAGGGTAGTGGATGTGTTGTTGTGATGGGATAGTACATGAATCATATGAAAAAGGGATTTGAGATGGTTAGTTAATTAGTGGTATGAATATGATGATTAGTATGATTAATTATGTTTGATGAAGAGTACGCTTGAGATTTGTATTTTGGTTTATAATGTAAAAATTTAATAAAATGTTGGTGCAGGTACGAGTCAGAATTGATTGAAGATGTTGTTGAAGAAGTGAGAGGAAAATTAAGTGTTTCGGGTTCAAGATTGATGAATTTGAAGAAAGTATTAGTTGGTGTGAGTTCATGTTTAGAGCAGCTATGGATGCAGGCAGAGATTCGAAGGCCAAGGGTTCAATGGAGGCAATCATCAATCGCCCCAACTCTCATCCCCCTTTTTTTTTTTGAGCCTTTTATAGAGTTTTGAAAAAAATGTATGCCAAAATATTCTGTCAGGCGACAGATTCTGTCGGGCGACAACGACGTGAAAGGTGTTAAAATATTTGTGGATATTCCACCGCCACATGCTGAGCTGCCACATTTTGAGTTTCCTTGACTCACCTGTTTTAGCTCTTCTCATTGGCTTTATGATAACAGCTTTGTATTTGATTTGGCTTTCTTTTCATTGACTAGTAAGATCTAGCTTTTATGTGTAAGAATTGCAATTTGAATAAAAATTTAATCTCATCTCATTGCCAACTATTAATTATATCTTTACGTTACAATTAACCTACTAACTGTACTCATTTCAAGTTTGAAAATCATTCTTGATTAAACTTCAACTGAAGACTAATTTTATTGAATCAAGAGAAGATTTGTTTTCTATTTCAGGTTTCATTGATTAATTAGTATAAAAGAGGTGTCATCATAAAAATATAAATACTAATATTCTTAAACTAAACATAAACTTTTATAGTAATGTGTTATATATATATTATATTAAACAAAACGAGAGAAAATCAACTCCTTTTTTGTTTTTTTAAATAGTGTATACAGTACAGGGCCAGCCAAAGTCATTGCATGCCTCAAACTATTATATGTGGAGAAAGATATATTGTATTGTATATAAATTTCTAAAAGCTCTTTGAATGTATAATAGATTACTGAGCTTTAGAGAATCTAGGAAAGTGAGCGTGCACTAAAACCTCTCTCTAAATTTAATATTGATCTTCAAGTTACCTATTTATATCATTATATTATATCAAATTTACATGAGTAAATTTCAAAAATTTTACCTATTAAATTTACTATAAAATAGGTATAATTTAATATTTACCTATTTTGCAAAATACTGTGTAAATCCATTCATATTAATTTACATTTACATTTTTATTAAATACAGTAAATATTTACCTGCAAATACGTGTAAATCAAATTTATATTAAATCTGAATTAACTATTCTCTGGTAAATCAAATTTAATAAATAGGAGTTCATTTTCTCCTCTCTCTCTCTCTTTAAAAAAAAAAATTAATGTAATTTTATTATAGTAAATTCATTAATTTTAGCCTTTTAGTATATTATTTAAATGTACTTGACTAAAAAATTTATTAAATATAAATGTATATATTTAACAAACGGGATGATATTTACCGTCAAAGTATAATATTCATTTTATAAACTACTGAATTAAATCTAAATGAATCAGACAAAGATGCTTAAATAAAATTATTTTTTGATTTATATTTCATTTCAATCTCCTAATTTAAATGAAGTAAAAAAAGTAACAATAATAAATCCAAATATAAACAAAAACATGGAAAAATCGTACATTATTTCTAAGTTATCTCATAGTAATTATGTGTTAAATTATCTTTATATATTCTGATATGTATGAGCTAAATTAGCCACATCCAGAGGGCCACTTTAAGTAAAACAAATTAAAAAAAAAAAAAAAATTGCTTGGAACTTGATAAGTTGCGTTGCCTGAAGAAAAAAAACGCAACGATTGCAAAAACCCCTAAAAACCCAGTTTGTTTAGATTAGTTCTGACAAGCAGTTTGCTTTAGTTTCTCTTCAATGGTGGATATGCTTCGGTTTAGATCGAGTACTTCACTCCATTGAATGCATGAAAGTTGATGAAGCAGGACAATGCCAATACTAATAGTAGCGACAACAATTTGCAAATCACGTGTTTCTCCGACCTCATCAATGATGTCACTCTCCATTCTCTAGTCTAGGACTGGCATTTGGCCCGCCCGCCCCAACGAGTGGGGATTCCCTAAAATAGTCGGGGGTTGGTCTTTGGGACATAGGTGGTCATGGCTCGAGGAAAAAAATTAGATGATTAGTTATTTAAATATCGCTATCATGTTATTACGAACTATTGTGTGTGTAAATGTTATCATTAATCAGGGTTTTGGGACATAGCGGCTCGTAAATTAGATCTTTAATATCAGTGGTATAATTACAAGAGAGGAGACAACATAAAAATGACATATTCTCGATAAAAAATGTTATGCCAACCAGGTTGGTGTAGCAGTGTCATAAGAACTAATCAAATTAAATGTTTTTGCCGCCTGGATGCAGCTTGTCCCACAAGGACAAGGGTAAGGTCATCTCGTAGACAGGTGAATGTCAGGCTATGATTGGGAATTATCCACCTGCTGAAGCTATGCGCGATTGGATACTTTTCGTACAAGCTACCAATGGAAAGCATGTTAAATCGTACCACACCTCTGCATCAAATCATGATTGCCATCTTGATCCTCCCACTATAAAAGAGGGCTCTCTCTATTACAGGATTGGCTCATTCACCATCTAAACTCTCTCTCTCTGTCTCTGTCTCGTCTCTCCCCTCTCTTTCCATTTATTTCTCTATTGTAATTCAGTGTCCAGCATGTGACCTGATGTACCCACTATTAATAATTACAGTGGACGTAAGATTCGCCTTGGGACATCCAACACTATAAAAGTGTTGCCCGCTCCATCTCTCATTTTGCACTTCCGTATCATGTGTGATTTATAAGTCCTTTAGTATTTACACGTGTGAGTCATTGATACAAATCAAGCAATTAACAAGAATATTATTTTTTTATGAATGATCAAAATTTGATAATTTCACAAGAAACTTACAAATTGGATAAGATCTGTCAGAATAGAACAAGTATCATTTTTAAGATAAAGATTTTCGTACGTCGTATTTCAATAATTACAAATATCCCTGGATTCATTGTATTACCTACTTGCCCTTGTTATAGTTTTATAATTACGGATTACCCTCATTTATCAACCCAATTTTCGCCCCACACCACTGCACAAAGTCACAACAACTAGTCAACCCTAAATCCCCAGTCTACTGCCGTCGTCCGTCCTCGTCATAGCCTCTTCACCGATTCCTTCTCCACAAACCGTAGTCTGGTACTTTCATCGCCTCTTCGCCGATTCCGGCCTCCACGAACCTTAATCTGCTACCGGCATCGCCTCTTCCGAATCCGGCCTCCATGAACCGTAATCTGCTCTAGTCATCGCCTCTTCGCCGATTCTGGCCTCCACAAACACTAATCGGCTACCGTCATCGCCTCCACGATTCTACGTTTCCCGATTCAAGTATTTTTCCCACCGTTTATTTGTTTTATGGATTGTTTTGTATTGCCTTTATTCTCCCTAGTTGTTGCATGGCTTAAAGTATTTTCCCTTTTTTTCCCTCTTTTATTCTAATTTGAGTTTGTTTGTCTTTGAAATTGGAGAAAGAGATAGCTAGTTGGTTTATGGACTTTTGAGTCGGTCAATGCAGAATATATTGTGTGGCTTTCTTGATGATATTTGGGTTAAATGGGAAACTTGCTTGAATGGTTGTTGTTTTCCATGATGTTGGATGAACTTTTGAAGTGTTGTTTGAGGTTTTTAAGTGGACTGAAATTGGCTGTTGGTGTGTTAAAATGTTTTTATGCACGTATCTTCAAGTATGAGATGTTGCATGGTGGGTTTTCAAGGGATCTCTTGGAAAACAATTTTGTGGTTTATGCATGTATCTTATATTCTTTCCAATTATATAAGTAATCTGATTTTCTTTATGTATGTAATAACTTGAAAATTGTGTACAGGTTGTTTGTTACAGTATGCGATGTTGCAGGATGGGTTTTCAAGGTCTCAATCAGGATGGTTTTGAATTAGTTTTTTTAATCAGCACCAAAAACACAGATTGAATTTAGTGTTTCTTATGGTTTTTTGAGGAAAAAGTTACATTTAAGCTCAACTTTGCCATATTGGTGGCTATGGTGCTAATTGTGGTTGATTTGATTTGATTTGATAAATATTGGTTGCCACAAGCATGTTTCATGCATAAGTTATCCTGTTGCAGCTTAAGCATCTTTTCGTTTTGGACTTGATACTCTTTGTGGTGCCCTCAAGTTGAATTAAATTGTGTTTGTCAATTTGTTGTTGGATGTCAAATTAAATTGTGTTTTCCACTTTATTTAGGATAAAAGTGATTGCGAGTGCAGCTAATGCCATCATTTAAGAGCTCTAGACTATATGTTCTAATTTGTCCGCCTTTTAGAAGGTTTTTCAAGTCTTGTGATAGGAGTAAAGCTGTGACTTGACAGAAGACAGACGACAGAAGATTTATTATTTGGATTTAAGATGTGTTACTGTTATGATGTTTTTGTTGGTTAATGATATAATTTTCATGTTATTTGTTTTGTTAAATTCAGTCTGCACTGTTTTGCAGCGTTAATCATAAACATGTTTTGGGGTTTGAGAAATTTACTATATAATATTCTCAGGATAAAATTATATGATACTGTGGAATCATCTTTATTTAAAGCAGTGGAACTTGTTCAAATCAATTTTATGATACTGCAAATACCATTATTAATATGAATAAGTCTGATTTTTAAATTTGTAATAAATAATTGTCTCTGGGTCATTTTATTAATATTTGTTTTGATAATAATTGAAAAAAATGCTATTTATATAATGGATACCTGATTTCAAGAAGCAGTATGCGGGGAATGAGTGGGGAAAACCCCTGAATTTGGGGCGGGCTGGGATGGGGATGGGAGTCTCCACATTCCCCTGTGCCGGGCCTAGGGATTCCCCAACATCCCCGTCCCGGGGATGGGCTAGACTAGGGGAATCCCCTTGGGCCCTCAGCCCGGACCTGGAGATAGGGATCCCCAGCCTCGGCCTGGCCCGTGCCCGTGCCCGTGCCCGTCCCTAGGTTCTAGTTCTACTACTTGTACATACATAACTGTAATATGCATAACCATAGAGAGCAATAATTTACTTCGATTTTTGTTGAACAAAACAGATATATGCTTGGATTGGTTGTAACTCTGCCAAATTTGGCCGCTTATATGCAGCCGCGCCTAGTTGGCCTGTAAGTTTATGTAATTCAATGTTTATTAGTAAATTTGAAATTATGAAAATCATCTTTATTATAAATTTTTAAATGAATTTTCAGCTAGCAATATAGTTAAATGAAACCAAAACATTGTGTAACCAAAATATCTGTTTGGTGTTAGGACCAATGTTCCAAAAACCGGAATGGACTATGACCTGTTCAAGGGTCCGGTTTTCGGTTTGACCGGCTGGATTGGTCGGTTAGACCGTATTCTGTAAAATTATTTTTAGTCCCTAGAGGTTTGAAACTCATCAAAAACACCCTTATAATATTCCCTTAAGGTTTGAAATCTGTCTAAAACACCTGTGTCGCGCAAAGAAGCTGGTGAGTGGTGGCGGCAGCGACGATCGACGGCCAATCGAAGTTGGAATCATGGGGCTTTTGATGTATAGGTTCCGGCGAATCTTATGGTGGTGCTAGGGAGTTCCGTCGTCACCGGAACTTGCCGGAATCAACAAAAGAAGCCTGATGGTCGCGTGAACTTTAGGTGGACGGTGAGCGATGAAGGCTAGACGACGGCGACTGAAAATGGTTGGGTTTTGTCGTGGAGATGCCGTCACGTCGAATGGTGGTGTTTTATTCGTCGAACGATGCCGGAATCCGACGAGATTGAGCAGCGATTGGACCGCGACTCGGCAGTATTTCGGTGGTCTGACCGCGGTTCAATCCGGTTTAACGGGAAATAACGGTTTTTGTGAGATATCGGACCGGAAATACCGTCGGCTCCCGGTCGAACCAGTCTGACTGGACGGTCCGGTCCGGTTCTCAGAACATTGGTCAGGACACCAGTAATGTAGTATGAACCTAGAAGGAAAGAGATAAAGTAAATGAGATTTTTCTTATTGTAATTTTTTATGATGATGCACAGAAAAATACAGTGATTGTTAGTTCAATAATTGGAGGGGTTTCTGACAATATTGGATCCGGCATTGCTCAAAGATTGGGTATATATTGTGTTTATGAGTTGGATTACATGTTTTATAGTTGTAGAGGTTTTTGTGTTGGCTGATATAAATGTTTGTGGCAGTGACAAAGACTGGTCTCAATGTGATTTTGGCTTGCAATATAGCCAAGAATAGTCCTATGATTGAGGTTTGGTTCCTCTCATGTGTTTGTGTTTTGGTTATTGACCTTGTTATGTGTGATTCACTTCTTTTTGTTGTTGTGTGTGTTTAGAGCTTGTAGCTATATATGTATTGAGTTTTTACGTAAATGCGGAGAAGAAGTTGGTTGAGAAGCTGATAAGTTTGGGGTATTCTAGGCCAACATCTTCATAGCAAAGAGGGACCACCTTTCTGTTTGGTTGAAAGTGCCATTATGATATATGTTCCTGTTGAAACAGAGGAATTATTAAAGGGGTTCAATGCCCATATACTGATTCACTGATAGTAATTTGTTTTGTTTTCCTCAATAGTTGATATTCAATGATTTGGAGGTGTTATAATTGAATCTTGAATAGCTCAAGCTTTTTCCTTATTAGGAGCCCTGTCTTGTTACACAAGAAAGGTTACTGTTATGAAGAACATTTCAATTTTCCCTTATCCGGTTTGTAAACAGTTGTTCCTATGAATTCTGTGTGCATTGATCTTGCCGCTTTTTCCTGTTTATGACTGATGTGATTTCTGTTGCTACTTATGTAATTTATTAACACATCTTGTGGAACTGATGGTGCAAAGCTGCCCTTTGGATCAATGAGACAAGTTGATTATAATGGCTCAATTTCAGGTCTGAATCTGTATTCTTCAGTAACCCAACACACGATGCCAACTTTTTATCTGTACAGCCATCTGGAACCCAACACATCATCCTCCCTGAATATTAATATTTGTAATTTTGTTGACACCTCCAAGAATAGAATTGATACTTATTAAATGTTCAAAAAGTAATCCTCTTAAGCAAAGGATAAAGTACCTTTAAAAAAATTTTAAGATTGGAATATTAGCTTCCTTCTGTTCCTGATAAAAGACTATGAAGCTGATTGGTGTAACCTGTATCTCTACAATTCAACAAATTGCCATGGACGGAATCTTTGATGATAAGGATGGTATGCTCTTCTCTCCCTACATGAGTGTGTTGTTTTGTGTAGTTAGTGGCTATGATATTCATTAAATGATTTCAGCTCTTACCTCAGGTTCTTCTTGTTAGGAATATTTTCATCAACATCAAAATTGCAGGGATCATAAGATCTACGTCAGATGCACACAACTCATTACACTGTCAAAATCAATTATTTTCACTACTATGAAGAATGCAGTGGAGAAATATGAATCTGGGAATTTGAGGCCGGAGGCTACAAATGTTATATTTTCTTTCCCATAAACCAAAGCGTATGTTTGCGAGGTGGCATTTGTTATGTTGTTTGAAGTTTAAATATCTGAATTTAACTGAAATTTGAATAGTCTAAATGCAAAAATTTTAAGATATTTTTTTTAATGTCTAAGGGGTGAGCACGGGTAGCGGGTAGAACCGGAACTGGGGGGTAAGAACCGGAACCGGAACCGGAACATACCCAGAACCGCACTGTGGGTAGGTTCCGGTTCCAATTTTTGGAACCGCTACTGTGCGGTTCCGGTTCGGTTACCCTGGAGGAACCGGAACCGGAAGGAACCTGTAAAAAGGGTACCTTTTGGAAACTGTAGGGGTACCCTGTTTTGGAAACTGTTTGGAACCTGTTTGGAACTGTTTTGGAACCTGTTTGGAACCTGTTTGGAACCGTTTGGAACATTTTGGGAACGTTTTGGAACCTATTTGAAACCTGTTTTGGAACCTGTTTTGGAACCTGTTTAGAACCTATTTTGGAACGTGGACTATAAGAATATTGTGAAATATAAATAATGGGGAGGAGTTTCATTATTTACATATAAAAAAATTTAAATAAAAAAAAGTTAAATTTTTAGATAACCTAATTAATAAATATGCGATACAATTATACTTATACATATAAATTACACCATATTAAAGCTTAATATTTATAATATTATATTAAAGTTTTGATCATTAAGTGAATTTGGAATATGATCCAATTAAAAGTGTTTTACATTTTAATGTTATTAAAAGAATTATTTTTGAATAAAATAGTATTTGATTGAGTAATAATTATTTAGTTATTTACTTCATTATCAAGTTTTAAGTATATCTATAATAAATTAGTAATAATTAATATATGACAAATTGATAAACATTAATAAATTTAATTACTAGTTAAATTCATACTTAATCAATTATACATTAAATTATAGTTAAATGTTACTTTTAATTATAATTTATAACATACTTAATTGATTATAGTATAATTAATTATAGCATTACATTAATTGATTACTACTAAATTGCTTTATTAAAACATTAGTACAAACTTAATTAAATATTAAAAATTTAATTAATTATAATATTACATTAAAATATTATAGTATGATTATTTAATAGTTAATTCACTATAACATTACATTATAGTATGATATATAATTAATTAAATATTACATAATTAAATAATTACTTAATTGATTATAAGTTATGATATTATGTTTTAAACATTAGTAATTACTAATTTGCTACATAAACATTAGCACAATACTTAATTAAATGATAGAAATTTAATTAATTATAACATTACCTTATAAACATTTCATTATAAACATTAATTAAACATTACATTACAGTAAATAATTACTCAATTAAATTATATATTATATATTACATTATATATTATGACACTTACTTAATATAGCTTACATAGTTAAATGATTATATAATTACATAATTAGTTATGAATATAACATTACATTATAAACATTAGTAATTTACTAATTTAATATTATTACATTAATTAATTAAACGATAAAAATTTAATTATAATTAACATACTATACATTTATAATTATTACTTAATCATTAAACATTCTTTATAAACATAGTATATTAATCAAATGATTTGAAATTTAATTAATTAATATTAAATTATAGATTATAGTATGATTATTTAATTCATTATAGCATTACATTTACTATTATAGTATGATCATATAATTAATATAACATATAATTAACATAATTTAATTAATTATGAGTTATGATATTATATTTTAAACATTAGGAATTACTAATTTCTATATAAACATTAGCACAATAATTAATTGAAGTAAGAAATTTAATTATTATAAATTTATTATAAACATTCATTATAAACATTAATTAGCATTACATTATAGTTAAATAATACTCAATTAAATTATAATATTACATTATATTATGATCACTTACTTAATTATAGCATTATATAGTTAAATGATTACATAATTACTTAATTAGTTATTATTTTAACATTACATTATAAACATTAATAATCTACTATACTATTAATTACTAATAACGATTAAAATTTAATTAATTATAACATATAATATTTGTAATATGATACTTAATCAATTATAACATTCCTATAAACATTAGTATATTAATAATGATTGAAATTTAATTAATTATAATATTAAATTATAGATTTGTAGTATGATTACTTAATTCATTATAACATTACATATACTGTTTAGTATGATCATATAATAATTAACATTACATAATTAAATAATAAATAATTACTTAATGGTATGAGTTATGTATTATATTTTAAACATTAGTAATTACTAATTTACTACAAAACATTGCACAATACTTAATTAAATGATAAGAAATTTAATTAATTATAACATTACCTTTAAACATAATTAAGCATTACTATAGTTAAATAATTACTCAATAAATTATAATATATTAATTACATTATATTATAATCACTTACTTAATTTAGCATTATATAGTTAAATGATTGCATAATTACTTAATTAGTTATGAATTTATAACATTACATTATGACATTGTAATTACTATACTATTACATTACTTAATTAAACGATTAAAAATTTAATTAATTATAACATTACTTTTATATTTGTAATATAATTACTAATCAATTATAACATTCCATTATAAACATTAGTATATTAATTAAATGATTTGAAATAATTAATTATAATATTAAATTATAGATTTGTAGTATGATTACTTAATTCATATTAACATTACATTATACTATTTATAGTACGTCATATAATTAATATAACATAAATAATTAAATTATTACTTAATTGATTATGACATATATTATAAACATAGTAATTTACTAATTTTCACAATATTTAATGAATTATATAATTTATAATTATAACATTATATTATAAATTATGGTATGATTATTTAATTAATTATAACATATTATAAAAAATATTATAATACTAATTAAATGATTAACAATTTAATTAATTAAATAAATAATATATACTTAATTAATTATAACATTACAATTACATTGGAGTATGATCACTTAATTAATATAACATTACAATTACATTGTAGTATGATACACTTATTTAATATAACATTACTTGTTTCTAATATTAAATTTACTAAATTATATTGGTATATATAATACACAAACCAATTTAACATAAATTAATAAAATTAAAACATTATAATTATTAACTTATCAAATAAACCCCCGGCAAATGGCAATGTTGTAATAGTATTAAGAATGTGGTTTGTTAAATGATTTTGGTGAAGTTATTTATGTAATGTGATGAATAATTGTTTGTGTTTGGTTTTGATTGACGAATTTTATGTGAATTGTGATGAATTGATTGAATTCAAGCGTTGTTCGAGATTACAGGTTATGAGTTACATTGGACACAAATGAATGAATAACGAAAATTTGTTAGGGGTGTATTTGTAAACTTATAAGGTGTTTTTGTTATTTTTTAAACTAATAGGGGGGTAATTGATTTTTTATAGGGTACCCTGGAAAGGAACCGGAACCTGCATTTTAGGTTCCGGTTCCTTGAATTGAAGAACCTGTACTGTGCGGTTCCGGTTTCGGTTCCTTTTTTTGGGAACCTGTACTGTGCAGTTCCGGTTCCGGTTCCTCGGAAAAGTGCAGGGTACCCGGAACCGCTCACCCCTAGTCTAAACGTTAAGTCTTAGCAGATCGTCAGTTTGACAAAATTTAATAAGATCTTTTTTAATGTTGTAAATACTTTTTTATTTCATTGTTCTAACATAAATTTATGAAAAATAATTAAAACAGGATATTTGAAAAATGAATAAATAAGCCATTTTATTTATTAAACTAAAAGTTATGAAATTGATTATTCAATAAAAATAATTAAGAAATAAGAAAATTAATAAGATGGTTGAAAGAATTGATTTAAAATATGGTCCAAATTCTTGCTTAAACATATAAATGGGCTTTATGAAGGTAAGAATTAGAATAATTTTACAGGTGTTTTTGAGAATTAATTTGAGGCAAATATTTCAGATCTTTTCAATTAAGATAAAAACCAATAGTTTAGGGTTTTTGTTTCTTTTTCATTTTTATAAATATGTATGAAGTTGTAGATCAAATACTCTAAAAACACCTGAAGGATTTAAATGCAGTTATATTCAGACATCATACCTGAAAACAAATTTACCCTATGTATGAACATATTAATTGATTTTGGTTGCAGTAGTAAGTCCACAACCATCTTCTGCGGGGACATAGCCATTGCATTACTGATATTATCTTCTTATTTTCAAACCCCATTAACATATTAATATATTATGCCCACACTTGCAGGAAACTGGTTCTCTACCCAAGCGTAATAAAAGCAAGAATGGAAAAGAGCATATTTCTCTGTACTTAGCGATAGCAGATGCAAGTTCTCTCTGTCGTGGTTGGGAGGTCTATGCAGTTGTCTGATTGTTTTTGCTTGATCAGAATAAGGACAACTACTTGATAGTTCAAGGTTAGTTTATTTTATAAATTGGGACAAAGCCAATAGACTTTACATCCTTTTTCCACTTAATTTTACTTGATGACTTGTGTATGTTGTTTGACACAATTTGTGAGAAAAATTGTCAGCTTTTACCTGTTGAGTTATTTTGGTGTCTAAAATAGTTGCTCTTGAACATCAAAGAACTTTTTTCTCCCCCTCTCTCTCTTGCATTTTAGATATGTTTCCTTCTATTGCCTTCTTGATTTAGCGTACCACAAGCAAATCGTGTGCCTCTTACTAATTATTTGGTCAATTTTCTTGACTAGATGCTCTGGGGAGGGACAGACGCTTTCATGGATTGAAGCTTGAAAGGGGTTTTGATCAATAAATTCCGCTTACAGTATTTAATGATGCTTCTAATGGTACCTTGTGGAGGACTCGTGTGTGTTTGTAGTAGATGTCTTTGTTTGTAAAGAAACAATCACAGGTGAAGGAGAGTGCTTATCAATGATCAAAGATGCACCTACTTTGTGAGTGAGCGAGTACTTTTAAGCATGTCTGGAAGTTTG